ATGTCCAAGAAGGCCCTCACATGGCTTGCAGTTGATGCTGCCTATCAGCTGGGAGCGAGAGCACCGAGTGTAGCAACTGAAGTTCCTCCATATGGGCTCTGCATGTGAACTGGCTTCTTCACACTCAGAATAGTCAGGCATTTTAGACACACGTTCCGAGCTCTAAAGGCAAATGATCACATTTCCTGCCCTAGCCTGTGAAGTCATTCAGTGCCACTTTTGCTGCATTTTATTGGTAACAAGCAAATTATTAATCGTGCTCAGACTCAAGGGAGAGTACCTAGGCTCCACCTCTCAAAAAGTAAGCGGAGGCCAAAGAATTTGTGGCCAAATAGATATATTTTAATTTATACTGTCTTTAGTGGTAATGCTTCTAATGTGTTACTATGAAGTGTAATTATTTCTGTAGGTTTTTGATCCTTCAGATTAGGTTGTAGGGTAACAGAAACAGCAGTTTTCATTTTTTTGACAAATTAATAATTCATGGAAAATAGTTGGAATAAATCCATATTGCCAGTTTTTTGAAATTTGCCTGCACATGAAATTTACTACACAAGAGCCTATAGGTTACAAATTCTGACTTCCCTCTAGGGAAGATGTTTCACCTGTTTTTGAACTGTACTCATCTTACTTGCATGATTGGGAATTCTGCTTTCTAACATGGCTCATTGATTAACCTTTGAGTGGACTGAGATAAATCCTATTAACTGCTGAGTTCTTCTCCTTGTCTCTAAAGTACCAAAGTGATTCCTTTGTGGATGTGCATGTCGCATTTTAAATGTTGGCCACTTCTTGGGAACATTGAAATGATTTCACAGTCAGATGAGAAAATGTATCTTGAAGTTTAAAAGAACTTAAGCTTATATAAATACCATAGTTGATAACTTTTTAAAACATCACAAGTTAGCTTCTTTTTTGAAGAGGCAGCTCAGACCCATTTATATGTGCCAGACTCATTTACATATGAAAGACTTTGTGATGACAAAAATATGCAATGACCTTTTAACCTTTCCAAATAGAAATTTCTTATTAGGCAGAATGGAACTTAGGTTGATGAATAAAACTACTAGACAGCAATGGGAGGAAACATTTAACATGCTAGGTTTAGGCCCACACCACATGGTGGCAGGCTTTCTCTGTGTAGTTACTTACTCTTCAGGACTTAAAAAAAAAAAAAAATCAAGAAATTTGGATTTAACTATATTAAGACATATAGTTCAGGATATTAACTTTTAGAGGGATTACATGAATTATTAGTTGTCAAGATTATCTTGATTTTAAAAAATGTTACTTTCTCTTGTATGCTACTTGAATGGCAATGGCTTGACCTTCACTAGAAAATTCTACTCTACTTCTAGATCTCAGTTTCTTCATTTCTAAAATGCTGAATTTGTATTATTTACAATTCTAAAATACTCTCTTTTACAATTGAAAAAAGCCTAAATATTCTTCCTCAGTAAAAGGAATACCCGTCATATTGTAGTTAGCCTCTTAAGGAATGTGGTTTCTAGAAGTTAGTCTGCCTAGGATTGAATCTGAGTTCTGCCAATTATTAACTGTGAGATATTAGGTACAGTATGCAGTCTACCAAAATTTCAGTTTCCACATCTGTTAAATATCATAAATTATAGTACATATCTTCTGGAGTTAGTATTGATTAAATGAAAAAAAAAATGTATGTGTGGCAGAGTCTGACTCACTGTTTGCCAAATTATTTTTTTCTTCCTGGGCAAACAGCTAAACCACATTTCTCATCTTCCCTTGCAGTTAGCTGTGGCCCTGTGACTGAGTTCTGGCCAGTGGAACATGAGAGAAAGGACACATGTTACTTCTGGGCTTAGCACAAAGAAATCTCCCACTATGATCCTCCTCGATAATTGCCTTCTGCAAATACCATGGAAACCAGCTGATAAAGGTGGTGGAACCACAAAATGGAAGGAACTTTGTTCTTGACTCATGGCTTGGAGGAGAGCTTTATGCTGAGGAACTGTTAATATTATTACTCTTAGTGTCACAAACCAAAAGCCTAAAAATCTGAACTTAAAACACAAGCAATAGTATGATCTGGTCTGCAGCATATATGATTTAGCTTTTTTATTTTTTTTTTTAGTATAGACAAAGTATAGAAAAAAATAGTGTGTAGAAATAGTAACAATCTGAACTATTCATAAATATAAATTGTAGAAAGCTAGCATTTAGTATTTATAGTTGTTATTTTTTTAACTAATGGAAGCTAAAAGAAGAGAAATCAAATAAAAAATTCAAGTTGGCATCATCTTGAAAATGATATTTTAAATCACTTCCTCCTTGTAGTTTACTTCAGTCTATGTTATTTTCACTCAATGTCTTCTCTCAGTATTTCCTACCATGCTTATCTTTCCATTTTCTTCTGGGCTCCATCTTTTGCTCTGTTAGCATTGAGCTAGAGCAGAAAATGTTAACATTGTGTACCTAACAGCATAAGGAACTTAGAATGTTTTGAGTCTTGTCTGTCATCTTCAATTTGATTTCTCTGTAGCATTTTTGTTCTATCCTGTGTTTTTCCTCTAAAAATTGATCTTTTTTTGGTAGTTGTTGTTGTACTGGGGTTTGACACTTGCCAAGTAGGTGCTGTACTACTTGAGCCATGCCTCCAGCCCTTTTTGCTCTGGTTATTTTGGAGATAGGGTGTCACTTTTTGCCCAGGTCAGCCTGGACCATGATCCTCCTATTTTACACTTCCCACCATCACTGGGATGACAAGAAAACACCACCACACCCAGCTTTTTTCCATTGAAATAGGGGTCTCAAAATTCACCCCCGTCCCCTGGAATGGCCTGGTACCACAGTCCTCCTGATCTGAGCCTTGGACATAGCTTGGGATGACAGGTGTGTGTCACTGTGATTGGCTATTCTTTCTAAACTACATCCTTCAGCAAGGATTTTTCAGTGGGAAATTCTCTTAGGTTTGGCTTGAAAATGTTTTTTTTTTATTTTCACATTTGAATGCTATTTAACTAGATAGAAAACTCTACATTAGCAAATATTTCCCCTCATCATTTTGAAGATAATATTCCATTATCCTCTGGTATCCAGGGTTTGCAGTAAAAATCCAGAATTCAGCTACATGTTCTTTCTTTGTGCCAATGTGCTTTTGAGACCATCCTTGACATTTGAAGGCCAAGAGCATAATTGCAAATGGTGTCCATATACTATTCCTAAAAATTTATGTTAAAAATCAAGCTAAAATGCTGGTGGCTCATGCCTATAATCCTAGCTACTCAGGAGGAAGAAATCAGGAGGATCATGGTTCGAAGCCAGCCAAGGGCAAATAGTTCACAAAAAAAGGGTTGGTGGAGTGGCTCAAGGTGTAGGCCCTGAGTTCAAACCCCAGTACCACACATACACACACACACACACACACACACACATACACACACAAATCAAGCTAAAAAGTTGGTAAATAAAATGTCCTATCCTTCTATCTTGACAAATATAGTTTTTTAATTACTTGCATGGCTGAGCTTTGACTTTAGAATTCTTAAAATTCTGGAGGTTCCATATTGGAACTTGGCCCCTTACAGAGTGACTGTTACCTGGCCCCTCCCCCTCAGATCATCCTCCTTCTTTTTCCATACTGGCCTCATCTTGGACTGCAGGGGGCTTCACACACATGCTTATAGACTCTCCACTTCCAAGCTCTGTCCACATTCCCAACAAATAGCCAACTGCTTGAGCACTTCATGATTCTGCCAGTATTTCATCTAGTATCAGGGGTAGCGGACCTAGGGAAGAGACCATGCAGGTTCTGGGAATGGGCTGCAAGTAACTGGGCAGGGAATCCCAGGGTCTTAGGCATCTGGAACAACCCTGTTCCAGGAGGAAAGGGGCACACTTTGGATGGGCATCCTTCCTTGACTCTGCAATAACCTCTTTCATGGTTTCCTCCTATCCACTCTGTTCTCCACTGTATCCACAGAGAATTTTTTTCAAATGTCAAGCACAGCATTTCATTCTCTTACTTAAAAACCCTCTAATGACATCCCATTGCTTTTGAAATAAGCCCCTTTAAAAAGACTACCAAGCTATGAGTGGTAACTAAACATGCTGGGCTCTTGGGAAGGGCTTTCATCCAAGCTCTTTCTCTTTCTGGAACACATACTCCTTTCTGCTATGTACATGGCTGACTTCTGTCTCTCCTGTCATTCTTGGCTTAATTGTCACATCCTCTCCAAATACACCTCCCCTGTTATTTGCTATCATTGCATCTTGTTCATTTACTTCAAAGTGCAAATCACAAATTTATTTTTCTTGTTGATTGTTTTCTCCTCCAGACTGTAATTAACAAAAGAGAGACTGTCACAGATAAGATGTCCTGGGAAGTTGACTAGAAGATGCAGATCAGCACACAGGAAGTTTATTAGGACGTGTTCCAGTTGACACCTGTCAAACAAAAGGATGCAGAATTGGACATGAGTCAGCGAATGCTCACTGCCCAGAAAAGGTCTGACCAAAGGAGGCAGCTCTCCTCAGCCGAAGCAAGTCCAAATGGCTGTGACCTGGGCAGGTCAGTGTAGCATCCAGGCTGGTCCATAGCTTGTTCCAGCAGACCCAATTTCCTCAGTTGCATGCTGGGAGCAGCTTCTTTAGGATGCAAGAAGGTTAGTCTGATGAGCTACAGCCCCTGCTGCTGCAGCTGATCTTGAGGCTGCAATGGGATCCTCATCCTCCCTCTCTCCTCACTGCTGATAGCCCCTCTGAAGGTCTAGGTGACTTAGCTGGTGGAGTGCATCAGACTCTTGACACTATGCACTCTACTACTTGTTTACCTTCTCAGGACTTGCCATTAAGATTGTGCAAAACAGTACTAAAAGATGTCCAAGTCCATTATCTGAGGGTCACATATATGTTTCCATGTGTACCAGCTGCTCTTCTGCGTCTTCATGATAACAGTTATGCCATCTGTGATCCTGTTCTTGCCTGCAAGGTCCTTGGCATGAGGGGCCCAAAGTATTTAGATGGTGATGTAGCTTCAAGTTCAGCAAAGACTCTTACTATCTCTCCTGTAGGAATGTTCCCTCATTGGGAACAAGACGTCTGTGGCCTACAGTTGTGAGGATGAAGACACAAATTCCCCAAGTGGTCACTGGGATTGATGGTAAGTGGGGAGACTGCTGCTTCCATACCTTGGATCCTACTCCTGGTACTCACTCTCCTCTTGGGAACACAGCACTATGTAACTGGGAATGATTTAGGGTATTACTGCATCCTGCAGGAAGTGCTTTATGCGCACAGGGTGTCATCTCCAAGTTATCACTTCAGCCAAGCTTTCAGCAGGCTGTTTCATTGCTAAGGAGGCCAGTAGCTTCTGGGTGGTGTGCCATGTAGCAGATCCAATGGATTCCATGGTCCTGTGCCCACTGCTACATCTTTTTTTACGTTAAGTGGATCCCTTGTTCTTATGCAATGACATGTGGAATGGTGTATTGATGGAACAAATACAGAATAAAATCTTGGGTAGTCATATTGGCTGAGACCCTGTAGGCAGGAAAGGCATACCCATAAACAATATACCTACCTATTGCTGTTAAAATCAATAGTTGCCCCTTCCAGCATGTTCTCTATAGTCAAACTTGCCACCAAATGGCTGGTTGGTATTTTAAGGTATAGTACAGTGTTGGGTCTTAAGCAATGATTTCTGTTGGTGGCAGGAAATTATTTCTGTTGGTGACAGGTTGATTATTTGGCCATGGCCATGGCAGTAGTTACATTAATATTGGTGCAAGGGAAATCATATTGTTGGCCTCATGTCTATTTGCTAAAGTGTCTTCTCTATTCATGAATCCACTGTGCCAGTGTGGGTGTGGCTGATGAAAAAGCTGGCTGACATGAAGTAGCCATGTCATTCTTCTTAGTTATCTTCAGTGGTAGGTGCTCTTAGGTCCTATAGCAGAAAGAATGGAAGCAAGTTTGGACAAGAAAAGTGGGCTGTATCTGGTCACCACTAGACCCCAGCCAATCTTGGTGGCTGCTTCAGAGTTGTTCCTTGTTGAGGCAAGGAAGTCAGGTCTTAACATCCCACATTGACCTGATTTGTAGCCAGCTGTCCCTGAAGGGACATGACCTCAGGTATGGTGTTTTCCTTCACCAAGACAATCACTGAAAAGGGTTGCCAGCATACAGGCTTCCCAGAAACTGGGGAATAAATTCTTCAGTCTTAAAGGAGAGACAGTGGAATACAGCATAGTACCCAAAAGGGAGACAAATGCTATTTTATTTACCAGCGTACATCCAGAGCTTAATACAGTGCCTTGAACAAGGTAGTCATTCAAAAGACGTTTCTGAATAAATTAATCACTGAAATGTCCTGCTGTCTCAGTTTGGAGTATAAAGGTCACATTTCATCCTGCCTTCTAACATTGTACTATGAAATTTTCAGAGTACAAAGAACAACTCATATATTTAACAACTGTCAACACATGGAGGTCTCTCCTTACACATATGGACTTGTTAGAGTATTCATTTTTTGCTGAACCATTTGCAGACCTCATTATACTCTGTCAATTATATACTCTGGTATGCATCCTCCCAAAACAAGGAATTCTCAATATTAATATTATCACACATAAAGGAACAGCAAGCCCCAAATGCCATCTAATATCCAGTCTTTGTTAAGTTTCTGGTTCTCCGCAAAATATCATTTGTGGCCTTGTGTGTGTGTGTGTGTGTGTGTGTGTGTGTGTATACACCTGGCTTGTTGGCCTAGAATGGATCTTTTTGCCCAGGTTGACCTTGAACTGCGATCCTTCTAGTCTCTACCTCCTGAATAGCTGGAATAATAGGGTTTAAAAAAATATTTTTAAAATTTATGATAGGGTCTTACTATATAGTCCAGGCTGTCCTTGAACTCATGGTCCTCCTGCCTCACCCTTCTTTTTTTTTTTTTTTTTGCAGTACTGGGGCTTGAACTCATGGCCTTCATCTTGAGCCACTCCATCAGCCCTATTTTTATGAAGGGTTTTTCGAGATAGGGTCTCAAGGAACTATTTGCCCCAGCTGGCTTCAAAACGTGAACTTCCTGATCTCTGCCTCCTGAGTAGCTAGGATTATAGATGTGAGCCACCAGCACCTGACTGCCTTACGCTTCTGAGTGCTGGGATTGCAGGTTGTACTACCATACCTGACCATGTATTATACTTGACTGTCACATTTCTTTAGTCTCTTTTAACCTATAACATTCCCCCCACTTTTTTCCATAAACTGAACTTTTTGAAGAAACCAAGGCTAGCCTCCTAGCGTTCTTCCCCCTGTCCTCCATTCTGTATTTATCTGATTGTTTCTTAATAGTGTTATTTAATTTGTCCCACATATCTTCACCTTTAATATCCCAAACTGGTGAGTCACATCCCATTACAGAATAGTCTTACTGCCTCGGTTGACAACCTGGGGACACTTCAAGATGCTTACTGACATTCAGAGACTAACCCTGGCTTCAACATCAACTGTAGTCAGAACCCCTGATTCTTATGACTAGAGACCTATCTTCTACCAGAAGCTGGAGACTTCCTGGTGAGCTATGGTTGTTGCTGCAGCTAAATGCCCAGGGAATAAGTACCACTGAGGATGAATGTAAAATATGTCACTGTCAGTTGATATGGACAGTACTGGGATTCTGTATTTAGGAAGCTCTCACCTGACAAAGGACAAGGAAACACTTGTAAACAGAGGGTGTTGAGTCTCTTTTATGCGTAAGGGTGTTCTTAAATGGTAGTGATATAGATAGTCATAAAAGGCTCTGTGTTTAGAAATGTTCTGTGACCAGTCTAGGGAACAGTGAGTTTATCTGTGTGTGCCATCACTTCTGCACAGGACCTGCCTCGGTGCAGGTGAAGTTATGAGTCAACAGAGTAGTCTACTTTAGCCAGGGTTGATACTTGTTTATCATTAGTGCTTGGATGATGAGCAAAGGAAATTCATGTACTTCCTGGGGTGAGGGAAGAAACTCAAATGACATTTTCCAACACTCTTATTACCTCTACTTTTAATCAATGCCCCTTGTTTTATGCAATGTTTATTTTTCCCAGCTCTAACATCAGGAGTTACCACCACAGTAGTGTGATATGATTGAAGCTGCAACACTTATTATTGTAACTGATCATACTTATTGTGGTTATGCTAATTGAAAATCAGAATGGACTGACTCTACATAGTTTCTATATTTTATTACATTTGTAAAACTTCTAAAACAGCTATGTTAGTTCTCACAATTGTTTTGAGACTGTTGGAACATCTTCCTAGCTGTGTACTACATTAACAGGTAAGCAAACCTTATAGTGATTTAAATCTTCTCTATTTGGCAAAGAACAAGATGTGACTGATAGTCCTCTGGTTTGTTCCTCTCAAATCTTTTATTCTTTATTTTTTGGCAGTACTGGGGTTTGAACTCAGGGTCTCATCTTTGTGAGGCAGGTGCTCTACCACTTGAGCCAGTCCACCAGCCTATTTCTCCCAATCTTGATCAACCCTAAGAGGAGAGAAGGAGTAAAGAAGAAAGGGTAGAAATGGTCTGGGTTCTCCCAGTTGTTTTCATTCCCTAAGAATAAATAGTATTCAAAGCAACTGAAATCCATTTTAATTTAGCCTTCCCAATATCAAGAACATTCCAGTAAACTGTGAAAAACAAGTTACTCCTAAGGCAATTGAGAGAATTTCTTGGCAAAGACAGTTCAGCTAAAGGAATTGGGATCAGATTGGCTGACCCATACCTGCCCACACTGACACAGTGGACAAGGAAAGTGAACAAAGGAGGATGTTCAAATTTCCACTAACCAGATTAACTTCTGAAATGAAACTTTAAGCTCCAAGGAGTAGAACTATTCTATGTTCCACTCCATCTTAAACTCTACATTATTTCATTAGATTCCTTTTTTTCATTGTTTTTGTTTAAAAATTTTTTATTAGGCTATATTTGTTGTACAGTGGAGATTCTTGATACTTTTTTTTTTTAAACCAGGGTAATCATGTACTAGCGTTAAGAGTGGTTCCAGCCTGGGGATGTAGTTCAATGGCAGAATGTGTGCTTAGCAAGCCTAAAGACGGGTTCCATTCTCAGCACCTCAAAACCAAACAGAAGTGTGGTTCCCCGCTCAAGGTACTCCATGTATGGTATCTGACAAATAATAAGCAGTGAGTACTCAGGACTGTATAAAAAATACATCACTGTCAGTTGACATAGACAGTACAGGGATTCCATATTTAAGAAGCTCTTTCACCTAAAAAGGACAAAGAAACACTCATAAAGAGACTCAAATCCCAAGCTCCCTTTTCCTTTTTATTCTTCGTATGTATTTCACGTAAGTTCTTTCAGTTTGTAGCCGAAAGAAGCTTATTTCAGTTTTTTGAACAATATATAGGCTTCTGAGTTCACTGAACTACTACTTTGGTCAAGCCACTTCATTCAGTGGATAGTGAGGTTCTAGCCACGTGCTAAATTCAGAGACTCCCATTTTAAAGAGTTTATAACCCAGGAGAAAAGACGACAATGGAGAATTCACCTCTTACAGGAAATGTACTTTTCTGGGCAACGTGAGATTGCTGTAGCAGAATATGTAGTGTGCTGGAGATGAGGAAAGAAGTTGTGACTGACGATGTCTTAACAAACTTCAATTGCCAAAGCTGTTGAATCAGGAAGGAGGATGCAGAGAAAGAAGACAAGAGTAGGTGGTATTTGACCTGGATTTTGAAAGATGAGTAGGAGACTGATGTTACTTTGGGAGTATTTCTTCCAGTACTTCTGGGAGGGCCAGACAAAAGTTTAACTGGTAAAAATAGATTTTCCTCAGGAACCTTTCCAATAGGAGGAAAGAGATATCAGAATATAGAATAATGCTCAACTCCCATAGTGCAATAGTTTCTGAATAAAATTTTTTTTTTTTTTTAGCTCTGTACTGTCTTTCTTTTTTTTTCCTTCAAGGGAAAAAAAGAACGAACAAATGGCTAGGTACATATGGCTCATGTCTGTAATCCTAGCTACTCAGGAAGCTGAGATCAGGAGGACAGGGGTTCGAAGCCAACCCAGGGCAAACAGTCCAATGACCCTATCTCGAAAAAAACCTGTCACAAAAGGGGTGCTGGAGGCTCAAGTGGTAGAGCACCTGT